TGGGTGCCAATTGGCTTTTTTGTAGTTCATAACAAACAAATATTCACACTTGACTAGAGTAACACCTTTAGTTAAATCACTCAATTTAGAAAGCCTTTAGGATAGAAGACTCATGAGTAAAGTAACATTTACACATAAAACACTGAACCATAATCTTAAATACAAAAACAAAATATAATAAAATACTCAGAAAGACATAAGGATAAGGACACATTCCTCGTTCCATATGCTAGGACAAATTTGTACAAACACTCCTTCTTCCCTAGTGCTATAAGAGCATGAAATGGCTTGCCTGAGCTAGCCAGGAAAACCAGTGACTTAGCAGAATTTAGGTCATTGGTTAATATGCATGACTAAATGCATGACGCGTAGGACGTAATCATCTTCTTTTTTTTGAAGTAGGCCTAACGTCTGTATTAGATAAGATAATATTGTCTACGTATAGTTTCTACGGTAGTTATATGAATATGATTTTAGGATCTATATCATTTCAAAATAATACAAAATACTTTTTTAAAAGTCTTTTAGTTAAATTTTATATTCTTTCTTTTTATATATAAAGTTGAAAGTAATTCTAACAAATATTTAAATAGAAGAAGACATGTCTTTGAGTCTGAAAGTTCAGAAAGAAAGCAGTGATATTTTGTTGTTAAAAATGTTTGTTTTGTTATACAGGTTTCGGATGTTCCGTCAGAGTTGAAGATAATTACTTCCTAGTTCAAACCTCCCGCGGAACGACGGGGGATGGGAGGGGCAGGGTTTGAACCCGGGACCATAGATAAATCTGAACGACAGTCCAGCGCGCAAACCGCACGACCAGGAAGCCATCATGTTAAAGAAACGTCTGTAGCTGTGACTTTTAATATAGAACAATGTGCCAACTTTCTTAAAAAAAACAACAACCCATTGACATTCAAGAACCTTTTTTTATTACTATTTCAGTCAATGATTTGCTCCATCACTGAAGACATTGTCCAGAACACAGCATTCTAAGATTTATATTTATTTTTTTTAAATGTATTTATGTCAATATGCATATTGTTCTTACAATAAAATATGTCATTTTTATATATTTTATAACCAACGTTTTGTTGTTGCTTTTTCTGTAACACTAGATTTAATCTCTAAAAATGTGTGCAGTACACATAGTGAAGTGGAAACTTTTCACTTCTTACTGTTACATTAGAAGTTCTCTGGTAAAAAAAAGTGGAGAAAAAAAAAAGAGAGACTACATTTTTGTCTGTTCTTAATGAGACAGAATATTGACGTTTTTCTATTTGCGCTTCCTGTGTTCAAGATTGGGGGAGGTAATGAGCCAATAGCGAAAAGTTCCTTTTCAGATCACAAGCCAAGCTTGAGATGGTAAGATATCACAGTATATTATACTAATGAAGAACAATATGGCCTGTGAATTTCTGAAAGTCTTTCAACTATTTCTCTCTCTCTTGTACAGAGGCTCATCTTACCTCTTAGGTGCTCAATAAGAAATAGTTTTAATAAATTCACAATGGAGCCACGAAATTAAGAAACTGCGCGGCCTTCTATTACCATGTGTATTAATTTTTCGGTATATCCAAAAATTGCCGCATGTCTCATTTAAAAATAAAATAAGTGACAAAAAAAGCGTCAGAATCTAAAAAAGTAACCGGCCAAAACCAAAAATATGTCCTTCCTAATTTTAATGACACGATAACTTCTGAACAATGTAAAAAAAAAAAAAAATCAAACTTAAAATGTATAGCAATATCACGATGTACCCAGGGCTTGCAAAGAACTTCCTGCGGGAATAGTACCTGGGAAAAGAAGGACGTAATTATCTTTTTTTTTTTTTTGAAGTAACGTCTGCAATCAATAAGATAAGAAGAAGAAGCAGACAGAGAAAGCGATGGAAAGACAATATCAAAGAATGGACGGGCCTGCCATTGAAAGAGGCAAAAGACAGAGGGGAATGGAGAAAGACGGTTGACACATTGTATGCGGTGCATCAATGGTCCATCAGGCTAAAGGATAGTCGAAGATTGTGAATTCTTTAGCAGGTGTGTTGCTTGCCGATGTACATACAATTTTAGAAACAATCTGACATGTGTTTACGTGTAGGCCTTCTAAGTAAATTGTGAAATAGAATGTTATAAAGGTTCATGGGCGAAGCCAAGGTGAGGGTGGGGGTTTGGATTTCATTACACTACCCCCGCAATGGGGAGGGGTGAAATTTTGTGACTATTATTTTGCTTGTTAACCCCCCCCCTCTCAGTAAAACAAAACAAAACAAAATTAAAACAAACTACAGTCATCAATGCCACCAGCAAAGCCAAGGAGGGTTTTGAGTTTAAAACCCCTGTCTAGAGGGATTTGAGTCTAAGGCCCCCTTCCAGTGGGTCTGAAAGTTAAAACCCCCATTTCAATAAAAAAAAACTAAAGCGATCTACAGTCACCAAATTCCAGGAGCGTAGCCAAAAGGAGGGGGGGGGGGATTAGTTTAATACCATCTTCAGGGGGTTTCGATGTTGAACCACCTAATTCAATGAGCGTAGCCAAATGGGGTTTTCAGTTTAAAGCCCATTCTTTAATAAAAAACTAAAGCAAACTACAACAATAAAATTCCATAAGCGTAGCTATGGGGCGGGATGTGAGTTTACCCCTCCCCCCGCCAATAAAAACTAAAAGGAAACCAACAGTCTCTATATTTCATAAATGTAGCCAAGAGGGTTTTGAGGTTAAAACTCCCTTCCTATATAAATAAAAGCTATTCGACTTATACTAAATTACATAAGAGTAGCTAAAAAGGCTTTCGCGTTTTAACGCCCTCATTTTTTACCAATAAAAACCTGAAGGATAACTTGTCACCTCATCCCATAATCGTTGCTATCGTTTAGAAAGATTTGACGTTAAAACCACCTCCAATTAAAAAAAAAAAAAATCCATAAGATGTTTGACGTAAACCCCCCCCCCCCCTTTTTTTTCCCAATGAAATTAAGAAAACAAAAAAACTATCCATGAGCATAACCAGGTACTCATTAGAGCTGGGTGGACTCAGAGGCGTCGAAAGATTCCGATGTTGTAAATCCCAGTCTTCACCAAGATTCGAACCCGGGACCCCCGGTTAGGAAGCCAAGCGCTTTACCGCTCAGCCACCGCGCCTCCCCTAGCCTAATTGATGTCTTATAATTGATGCAATTGTTTTGAAAAGGATCAATCTCTTATTCGAATCCTCATGAAAAAAAAAAAAAAAAAAAAAAAAAAAAATGCAGTTTTACAAGATTACTATTAGTATTAAATTATGTCTAGCTTATAATGCATACTAAATAGATTTTTTTTCTTTAAAAAAAATAGTAAACATTTGTTTGTGTGTAGATATAGTACTTAGTATAACAGAACTTACATAACTTAACAATACAAATATAAAAACAATTTTTTTTTAGATTTTTCGCGTTCAGAAAAGAAAAAAATAGCCGTTGCATCAGAACTTTGAATGGTCTAAAATATTGTGATGTCGGATTTTCACTAACTTTTGTATTTTACAAGACCTAAACGGGACGGACGGACAGACATTTCACACAAAACTAATAGCGTCTTTTCCCCTTTGGGGGACCGCTAAAAACTATCCATGGGCATAGCCATGAGATGCTTGACGTTAAAACCCCCTAAAATAAAAAAAGGAAACGTTCAGATATTACGTAACGGTTAAAGGAGGGGGGTTATAAAAATTTGCTTCGATTTGTTGAAAGAATAAGTAAGAAATCAATTCGATGTTGTTAATCAATATGATATCAAACAATCAATCACAAATAAACAAAATATTTATCATCAAAATTGTTATGCCTTGTTCCTAAAAAATTATGCGTACGTTAATATTGATATGTACATAAGACCATTCTTGAAATCTACTAAGCGGTTCATTTCTTTTATAACGCAGATGAAGTATGCGAAAGAAATACTATCATAGCAACATTCATCAAGCCTATAGGCCTACTAGATATTTTATCTCTGGAGCTACGTTTGGCTTGCTAATTTTAGCTCTGAAATTAAATCCAATATTATAAGAACTGATTTGTGCTAAATCAATCAGTATGATCTTACAGTTTCGATGGAATCACTCTGAGCTAATCGGAAATCAATAGTCCAAGTTTGTGAAATAAACTGGGAATTAAGTAGCTGATTTAGTGGCAAAGTAGCCTATTAAAAAACAACAACAAGAGCTAGAGAAGGGGGGGTGTTAAAATGTGTAAACCCTAACACACACATGCGGGCACAAGCAAATATGTTATACTATAAAATGCAGATATCAAAACATCAAAATACTAAAGATTGCCCTTTATTAAATTTTAAACTATAATGGGTTAGGGTGGTTTCCATAAAATCTGAAAATATGTCTCCAACATTAATAATGCAAGCATATTAATCAATTGTATTCGCTAGAACAAGTGATGGGAACTTTTTAAAATGTGAAAAACAAACAAACAAAAATTGGATGGCGCCAATGTCGGTCGCAGTGTTTGTATAATTTTTCCTTTGATTCTAGTTGCATATAAAACGTGATAACGTTTGTTCTTCTTGTGCTTCCATAGGATATAATTCCACAAATCATTACAGTAGGTTTATAAGACATTCCAATGCAAGCTCTCCTGCACCTTCCCTGGCCAATCAGGGCATGTTATGAATCTAAGTCTAAGGGTTACAAGGAGTTTGTATCATGAAATAAATCAACTAAAATTTAAAGAAACATTTTTATTTAAAAAAGATACAAAACTTTATTAAAAAAATAATTTTTTTTAATGATTTATGTTTTTAAAAAAATATTTCAAAAATTTCCAAAAGATAATTTGTAAAAATATTAGAAAGTACAGCAGTGTGACACCAAGTCTATAAACTGAATTAGGAAGAAGTTCTCTATAAAACTGTATTAGGAAGAAGTTCTCTATAAACTGTATTAGGAAGAAGTTCTCTATAAACTGTATTAGGAAGAAGTTCTCTAAAAACTGTATTAGGAAGAAGTTCTCTATAAACTGTATTAGGAAGAAGTTCTCTGTAAACTGTATTGGGAAGAAGATTCTCTATATATGGAAGGGATTTGAAAGGACTGCAAAATATACAAAGTAATTTTACTTGTGTTGGTGGGAGACCATTCAGAACACAATTGGAATGTTTAAACACACAAGTAAAAAAAAATATAATATTTTACAGTTCAAACCAGGAAGTTTCTCTTGAAGTTAACATTTGAATATATCTTTTGGTTCACTAACAAAATTATACCACATGATGTATGAAAGAAATTTTGGTTTTATTACATGAAGTAAAATGCTAAGTATGAACCAAATGAATATGAAATATACTGATAAAATATTTAATTACTATCACAATATGGGATCTGGAAACTAAATGTACAGGACAAAGAATTGATAATGAGTTAAAGGAGAAAACAACAACACATTTTTAAAATTAATCTCATCAATGGTAACTGAAACATGAAGTGAACCAAAGTGTCTGGATTCATGCATTACAAAACTGCTACTTTATTCAGTTCACAGTTCTATGAGAGTTAATGTCTGGATGTGGCATACAATGATAACTCTAAGACAACAAGCAAAGCAACTAACATTCAATAGTCTAAGTGTACAGAGAAACAACAAGAAAAACAGGGAAGTCATATACATAAAAAAAAATAAATTGAAAGTCTGCATTCAATGATTGTTCTCTTAAATCACAGATTGAGACTTGTAGCTGATGAAAAAAACATTGAGAAGGATTAAGTTCTTTTAAATATAAAGCAATCATGTAGGTCAGTGTCATTGACAGAGGTGTTGCCAACTAAGTATTTTGTATAAAAAATTTAAAAAAATACATTTCATTAAGACCTCTAACCCTAAAACTTACCCAAAATGTGATTATAATCTAGCTCTGTTGTTGGTCTGGCTTTAACCACAAAGAATGAAGTGAAAAATAAGTGACTAAATATTGTTTTTTTTATTAGAACTTTGAGCTTTGACATATCTGTTATTACTTAAACCTGTTTTAATCTCAGGGGGAGACAATTGTAGTGGGGGGGGGCTATAGGTTGGTAGACCTAAACATAGGAATATTTTTCAACAATCACATTTATTTCTTGGGAGGAAAAAGTTGGCTTGATAAAATAAGTTTTTAAAAGAAAAAGGCCTTTAAAAAAATAATTTTTTGCTTTTTACAAAATAACTTTCATAGAGATTGGGCTTTGAATGTAAAAAAATAAATAAGTTAAAGATTTATTTTATTTATTCACAAGAAAAAAATTAGAAAAAGTAACGTAATTCGTAAAGTTGTATTAGATAAAAATGTCACATTCTACACAGTTGAAATGTCTAAATAATTTGTTGAATTTTACCAATAAAGACAAAGCATGCCTTTTATAACCACTCATTAGAGGAAACATACCTGATGAAGAGGCAAATAGTAGTTTTTACATTTTTTAAAGAGAATATATACTTTGACATCGGATAAAACATTTCAGAGAATAACTTAATAGGATACATTGGCTGCCTTAGGAAGACAAAATAAAAACATTAATTTGAAATAGAAGATAGAAAGAAACTCTGAAATAGAAGACAGATTGAAAGAAACTCTGAAATAGAAGACAGACTGAAAGAAACTTTGAAAAAGAAGACAGACTGAAAGATACTTTAAAATAGAAGACAGACTGAAAGAAACTTTAAAATAGAAGACAGACGGAAAGAAACTTTAAAATAGAAGACAGACGGAAAGAAACTTTAAAATAGAAGACAGACGGAAAGAAATTTTAAAATAGAAGACAGACGGAAAGAAACTTTAAAATAGAAGACAGACGGAAAGAAATTTTAAAATAGAAGACAGACGGAAAGAAACTTTAAAATAGAAGACAGACGGAAAGAAACTGGCCTAAGAATACAATTAAAAAGGGAAGCAATGTTTACTTCTCAAAGTATGTATATAAAATGCATGTAAAAATACAGTGAAACTTAATGTTAACCATTAAAACTAAATTTCTTTAAAGGTTTAATTGCTTATATTTATAAATACATCATGAAGTGATTATAGAAAGTTGCATTCTAATTCTAAAAAACAAGTCTCACATGTTAAAAACAGAATATATAAATATTTTTTTTCTATTTCTTATAAATTACAGAAAGTATCAGAGATTCAAAAAGTAAAAAACATTTCAAATTACATTAAGTAAACTCATTGAACACTTTTTATTTGTTTTAATGTACGTGCAATTCAAACTAAACACAATGCTTACATCTGTTTACAAAAACAATATGAGAAAAATGTCAAACTAATTTTTTTTCAATTTCTGTCCAAAATGTTAACAATGATATGACTTTTATGCAAATATTTTGTATGGCATGTTGATTGCATGGAGTTACAGTTCACTTGGTATAAAGATATAAAATAAACAATTAAACTTTTTGTTGCTATAAGAATCTAACATCACATTTAATGGAAAACAAATATTGTGCAACTGTGCTACTTTTTGAAAGGATAGAAATCACTTGTTTGGGTTCTTGACTAGATCTATTTCAGCAGCATTTCTAATGCTAGTAAGAGAGTAGTCCTTTGCAAGATGACCATTTTCAAAAACAATTTCCAGTAGATCCTGGAATGGAAGACACACATTTTAAAAGCTACTACAATATAGTCCTAAAAAGTTATGTATCAAAATACTTTCATTCATTTTAATATTCAATTTATTCTATTATTAACAAATATTTACATTGAAGTGATTTGTATTTAAAATATTAGCAAACAAATACAAAATGTTTTACAAATTCTACTTTTGATTTTGTTGCCATTAATTTCTTTTAAGTACTAAGAGTCAATTTTCTAAATCTATTTAAGTCAAATGTCAATGACATAAGATTAAGATAAAAAAAAAGACTTACTTTAGAAGGATCCCCACTGCCTTCTTCAAATGTTTTATATTCATTATTATGTAACTCCAAGGTTAGCTTTCCTCTTTTGCTTTTTTTACCCCTGTCTGTAATTGGATCTTTGAAAACATTTACCTAGATGACAGAACAAACAATATAAGAACAGTTTTCAGGTGAGATTACAAACAATAAGTTAATAGTTTTACAGACAGTCATTTTGAAAACAAAGAAATGTAAACAGCTTAACAATAACTTATTGTGAGTCTTTCATAAAGAAAAAATTAAAGTAAAAGAAATGAATTTGAAAATGATTTAACACTTTCCTAAATGAAGACTTTTATGTACACTCATTGATAACATTGCCAAACCATGACTTAAGTACAATGGCATGAGAAGGAAGAGACCTTGGCTATATGAATTTTAATCCATATGTACATATTTTTTATGTGAATTTATAATAAATACATAAATAAAAACAGTGTGACGTCTCCAATAATATGAAGAAAATTTATATCACGTTTATTTAAGGTTGGTCAAACTGCATTGATTTTATTACATTACATACATACAGAAACTTTACAAAAAATTCGTGTTAAATATTAGATATAATACAAAATTAAAGAACTTTTTCTTTTTGAAAATCTAAATGAACACCTTAGAAAATGATTATATAAATGCTGTATCAATTGAGACAAGATGATGTTTGAAGCTGTAAACTCACAATTTTGTCTGTAACTTTAAAAAAGTAGCTATGTTACAGTAACACGAGTCACTTCAAATTTATTAATTAGGTTTTAACTCATATTTGTCACATTTGGCATATAAGGTGATTAGTGATGAGATTTAAAACACATGTTAATCTAACCAAACTATTATGCTTGAACAAACCTCCTTGCCATTTATGATTGCATAATTACACTTAAATGCACATTTCTGGGTGTCTCTATCCAGCCTCTGCAGCAAAGCTCCACCACTTCCAAAGGCTAGCATGTCAGCACTCCACAGATTTTCTTTCATAAATTCCAATATCTCTGAAAGTGTCTCATAGGAAATGCCATCACCCTGTATCACTCTCACATAAGGTGGTAACATTTTATAACCTTTTGAGTTAACTGTTGTGCCAAATTTTTCACCTAGGATATTTAGTACCTGCATGACATTAACAAATAAACTAAATTATGAAAATGCAATAAAATTTGAAAGAAAAAATAATTAGAATATTAAGAAATTAAAAGTTTAGTTAGTTTAAAGGATAGAACTGATGGCAAACGTAAACGTTTTAACTTACCTTGACAACAATTTCTTTGGGTTCTCCAGAATCAGGTCTAATTACCAATGTTCCTTTGTCCCCCCGGGAAACCACAGCATCTTTTAATTGATCACCCCAAATGTTCTCACAGGCATTCCAAATGTTATAGCTGTCACTAACACAGGCAACTAGACCAGTAGGAAACTTATCTAACATATTTTTAAATGCTTCTTTCTCTCCTTCTGGACCCCAGGTTGTTATTGTGCTGTTTTAAAACATGAAATTTAATTTTAAGATGCAAATGAACTGGAAAATTTTTTTTAGGAATTGTGTTAGCAGATTGAACTTAATTCTAAATTTAAACTTTGCCAAGATAGACAGATATGACTTAATCCCTACAAGTGAAAGAATTCTCAAGGAATAAATGTTTTTTTTATTTGCTAAAACTTATTTTGTTTCTTGACAATAAAAAACAAACTCAAACTACTTTTCTTGTAGCAAAAATGGTATTAGCAGCATAAACTATTTTGATATTTTTTTTAAATGAAAGATCAACATTTTGAAAAAATAAAAATAAAATGTATGCATTGTGAAGCATTAATGTTTTATTTGAAACCAAAACAGACACCCAGCTAACCACCAGCCTTATTTAGAACATAACAGTGTAGCTGACACCCAGCTAACCACCAGCCTTGTTTAGAATTTAACAGTGTAGCTAACACCAAGTTAACTACCAGCCTTGTTTAGAACTTAACAGTGTAATAACACCCAGCTAGCCACCAGCCTTGTTTAGAACATAACAGTGTAGCTGACACTCAGCTAACCACCAGCCTTGTTTAGAACTTAACAGTGTAGCTGACACCAAGCTAACCACCAGCCTTGTTTAGAACTTAACAGTGTAGCTAACACCCAGCCTTGTTTAGAACTTAACAGTGTAGCTAACACCCAGCTAACCACCAGCCTTGTTTAGAACTTAAAAGTGTAGCTGACACCCAGCTAACCACCAGCCTTGTTTAGAACTTAACAGTGTAGCTGACACCCAGCTAACCACCAGCCTTGTTTAGAACATAACAGTGTAGCTAACACCCAGCTAACCACCAGTCTTGTTTAGAACATAACAGTGTAACTAACACCCAGTTAACCACCAGCCTTGTTTACAACTTAACAAAGTAGCTGACACCCAGCTAACTACCAGCCTTGTTTAGAACTTAACAAAGTAGCTGACACCCAGCTAACTACCAGCCTTGTTTAGAACTTAACAGTGTAGCTAACACCCAGCTAACCACCAGCCTTGTTTAGAACTTGACAGTGTAGCTGACACTCAGCAAACCACCAGCCTTGTTTAGAACTTAACAGTGTAGCTAAAACCCAGCTAACCACCAGCCTTGTTTAGAACTTAACAGTGTAGCTGACACCCAGCTAACAACCAGCCTTGTTTAGAGCGTAACAGTCTACTTTCTAATGCACTACTGCTTTCACTTCTAAGGGTTCTCCTCTTTGCATCAGTAACACTAAGTTACAAATATGTGTTAAAATCAATGTTAGTCAAAAGCTGAATGTTAACTAAAAAAATAAAATGGATAGTGAAGAAACATTTCAGATTTTTTCTTTTAAAAGTTCATCTTTTATTGTGTTAGTCAAACTATGTGTTTAAAAAGAAACTACGTCTGGATTAGTAGTGAAAGTAAAGTTTAAGTTTTTAAATTGAAATTAAGTTCATGTATCTAAACTGTTTCTTTATTGTCCTCAGAGACAAAGACACTTTTAATTTCCTTTTTTCTACTACAAAATCAAATGTTCTTTTTTTTTTTTTAAATTCAGTGTATTATTACTATTTATAAACATACCTATGTTCTGCTGCGGGAATAGAAAAACCAGCAGTTTTGCAACCATAATATTTTTTAGCTGTTGTAAGAGCAACAATAGTGTCTGTACCTTGAAAATTGACTAAATGTGCAGCACCACCAATACCTGCTGCCTAATATAAAAACAGATAGCAATTTAATAAAACAGAATTTGTCATTGTTTTATATATATATATATATATATATATATAAATATATATATATATATATGTATATACAGTGCTTTTTTTGTGACAGTACGCAACAATACGGCGTAACGGCAACTTTTACAATGTGGGGAAATTATTGATTTTTCTTGTATTTTAACGTTTTTTATTAATTTATTAGTAGTTAAAAAAGTAATGTACTGAGTACATGCACCTATTTTTTTTTTAAAAAGCACTGTATATATATATATATATGTATATATAAAAGTGTACATAATATTACAATCATAGAAATCATAAAATTATTTAAAGTAATAAAGAATAAATGACTACAATATAGAGACAAAAAAATATGATTAGAAACAAATTAACTACAGATATAAAATTTAGTACAAAGAGTGCATTTAATTAATTAGACAAAAGTTGAACTACCACTATTATAACAAATTTTGTCAACAAAAGGTGTAAACTGCACATCTAACACTAGAATGACCCCT